ATATATGTAATTATTAGCTTCAAATAATTAATACTCCAGTCCTTAAAATCACTTTTCCTAATGGGAAAAAGATTTTAATCAGCAACTGGAAAGAAAATAAAAATGATTTTTATATGAATAAATATTTTCTTCTAGTTCACTTGGTTAATTTCCCAAAATACTTTCCTTAAATTGAAAAAATGTCAGATCCAAATCAGCCATAGCAAGTGAATAAAAGAGAATTGGTCTAAGATAAACAAGCAAAAAATTTATTTCAGGTTAATGCTTACTGTGTTTATAGAAGCAGCTTGAGGCAGAAGCAGACAAAGTCTGGATAGGGTAGGATTGTGCTTTATCCAGGGCTGAAAGCCAGAGAAAACTGTCAAGTTCTGTAGACATTGCTCAGAAAAGTCATGCCTAACTATGAAAGCTATCACTTCAGGCACAGTCACTTGGAATATTTATTACTTGGGTCACTAGTATTGTTCATTTTGGATTTCAAATAGAAAGACTCCAGCAATGATGTGTGAATTCTGAAGGAATCATTTGGCCTTACACGTAATAAAAAATGTTAGTCCAGAAAGCTGTTAAACCGTTTCTCCAATTTTTCACAGATGACATTTTTTCTTTAGATGTCCATGTAGAATATTGGAGTGCATGGAAATTGTAGGGGAAATTTGCTGATCATTTAAAAAATATTTGCCTAATCTAATACAATTATATGAGGGGGGTACCCCTCCCCTTCCCCCCCAAAACAGGAAAAAGCTCCATTGGGCGGAGCTTCTGTAGTACACATTTTTCCTGCTAGGTGAGCATCAAGCAACGCTCTGAGTTAGTGCACCCAGTAGTGTCGCCTGGGAAAGTTCCCTCTGGTCACAGTAATTTTTTAAATAAAAGCAGTTTCACTCAAACATCTTTTTGGGGGGGTTATGGGTGATTTAAGAGAACAGCATGTGGCTGTGAAATTTTGTTTCCTGCTAGGGAAAAATGCTACAGAAACTGTTGTGATGTTTAACACAGCTTACACACACAGTCCTATGGGAAATATTCAAGTGTACACGTGGTTTTCTTGTTTCAAAAAAAGGTGAAATGTCCATTGATGACAAACCTTGTTCTGGACATCCATCAATTTCACTAACGGATGGAAATGCCTACTCGTAGTGCATTTGGAGTTCGTGCCACCAGGTCAGACTTAATCAAGCTTCTATGTAGAGGTTCTAAAAAGACAGCATAATGGTGTGTGCCCCCAAAAAGGCCTGATTTGTGGCAGATTCGGGACTGGTCTTGCCAACACAACAATGCACTTGCTCACACAGCCACCTCAGTGCGCCAGTTTTTGGCAAAAAATAGTATGCCTCTCTTGCCCCACACACCTAACTCACCTGGCCTCCTCCATGCCACTTTGTTTTGTTTCCGCAAATGAAGGCGTTTGAAAAATGTTTCCAACAATGGAATCACAGATTTGATATAGGTATTAAACATGAAGGAGAGTACTATGAAGGTTATTAGGTATTTTGTAAAAAAAAAAAATTGAAATACATAGCTTTGAAAAAAATTTTCAGGGTTTTTTTTTTTTTTTTGGTGAGGGATACCCCTGCTATTCCCATATTTATGACCATGACTTTATTCTGGAGAAATTAATTGAAGGTCTTATCACATCTACGTTGATCGCCGCTGGTTCCTTTTTGGCTAGCTTTGTAGATCTCACTGGACCTTACTGCTTTCCATTGTCATATCCCTACATTTTATCATAAAAAGAAAATGTCCCGAAGATTGTATAACTTCTCCCTTTATGTTAGCTAGTAGGGTTTCTAATATATTGATCAAGTGAGTGGCTTGGCTTTCATAAACTCAAAAATCATACGTGACTACCAAGTGGAGACCTGGTTTCTAATCCAAATATCTTCATAGCCAACCACATAACTTGAGAGAATGAACTCACCTTCTTTGGGCTAGCTAATATCTAGCTCAATTGTTCTAGAGTAAAACCATAAGCAAGGCACTTCTGCCAGAAATATGTTTTCCATTTGATATTTCACTTGGAGATGAAAGTAGCAAAAAACAGACAGAATTCTGTAGTTCATCTTGGGTCATCTGCCCGAATAGAAAGTACTATTCAAATGGAATCACCCTTGAAGTTCTACTGGCAGTTGGAAAAATTCAAGCCCCTGTATAATTATTTTCAACGGAGAGTGTGTTGTTCGGGGATTCTGTGACCACCAGGGGTGGGTCTGGTTGGCATACGCAATGCATTCAGGTAACGTGTTCCTTTGTTTAAACACAGGTCAGGTGATCACTGCCAGCATTGCAGATATCGTTGCAAATTACTCATTCAAGGATATTCTCAGGAAATTGGCTCGAGAGAAACAGACTGAAGTGGCTCCAGCTTCTTATGACGATAGCTACCTAGGTGAGATCCACGGGTCAAGATAGGCTTGGCTTCTCAAAAACAATAATAAATGTCGATGCAAATTTTATCCGGCACTTACTGCTGTTGTTATCACCAAGCTGATGCCAGCTCAAGGCGAGCTGATGTCAAACGGAATGACACGTCGCCCTGATAGTACTTTCCATTTTATGCACATTTTCTTATTTCCTTAGAATGAAGTAGGCTTGTTAATTAGTTTTAATTTTTTAAATAAGGCTAATGCTCCAGCCATATATGACTGAGCAGCTGTATTATAGGCACCACAACAGTCTCTTTCATAGAAACTGTCTCACCAGGACTAGACAATATGTAGCGAGCCCTGGAAGCCCACCCGGCAGCTTTTCAGTAGAAAGAGCTGGCGATCGGCTGCTATAAAGACTGCATTCAAGAAAACTCCATGGAGCAGTCTCCTCTGCCATATGGCATCACTAGGAGCCAGAATGATCTCGATGGCATCCAATGATACGACAAGCACAGATACTACAAGGGAGCTTCAAAAATCCATGGGGAAATAGAATGAAAAGGTCGTGGAATTTTTCCATGATGTTTTTTTTAAGCTACCGCTGATGTATCAGAGTGGCTGCTACCAGTTCAACACAGGGAACATGACAACAGGATTTCCAGCTTCTGAAGCAACAGCAAGAGCCTTTCCACTTGTTGAAATGTCCTGAAAATGTACTATGTTCAAACTGCAGAATGTTATTTCACCACAGCTGCTTGCCACATTTTGGATCTTAATGGCATTTCTATCGCTTAATGAAAAACAAAATTGTAGCTTTGTTTTGTCAGCATATCTGGCACATCCGTACAGCTAAGTGAAACCTGTCGGAGGCCGTCTTTAAAGGAAGGAAGAAGTTGCCCTTGCTGCTGATCAGACAGATAGCATGACCCGAACACAAAGGATATCTTTCAGAGCGCCATGTCTGATCAGGATGAATCAGCAACTGGAAAAGTAGAAGAATCACCAGTTATACTTCAGGGTAGACTGGGAAGCATTCATGCTTGCATATTGGCCTTGAAATCTGGTTTGCTTGCCATGCTTCCACTAAAGTTCTGTAGTAGCAGATGTATTGTGCTTCCAGAATTTCGTTGACACGATGCACATTTTTTGGATTAATTCTTCCTTTTATAGAACTCTATGCTTTTACAATGTTTGTTGAGCTTTCTGAACAAAGCAGTCCTGTGGTAGTTTTCCTTGTTCTAGACATGACTCATGTGTCAGACCTTCAAGTCTGTGATTGCTTTTGTTTTGTTTTTGGACAGGGTACGCAGTTGCTGCGGGGGAATTTACTGGAGACTCTCAGCAAGGTGAGAGACATTACTGAGTTTAAGTTATTTATACAACTGGGCAAATGCTAAGTTGACTATAACATTTCTTTATAAATATAAGTACACATAAACAAAAGCCCAGAAAGTATATGATAATATTTTTCTAAAAGGCAGACACACATTTTGGTGTCATTTTTATTTTTACATCTAAAACAGATTGCACAAGAAGGAGTACCCATCTTTATCAAATCTAGTTAAGCAATGAAAAATAGCTCCCATATTATAAAAGATATATAGATGTAAGATTAAACCACTTATACAAAGGTCATGTGGTTAGAGAAAGATCAAAAGTGAAAAATCAAGACCCCTAACCTTTCCCTTAATGGCTAGGATTTCATATTTGATGTTTTCAAAAGTAAACTCCCAGGTGAATGAAATATCTAGAATTGGAAAATGCACCGAGACCAAAGTTTACTAGTGATTCCCAAGGTGGGAGGGAAGGAAAAAGGAGAAGTCACTACTTAGGGAGCACCAAGTTTCTGGTAGAGGTCTTGGAAAATTTAGGAAGTGGATAATGGTGATAATTGCACAACACGATGAGTCTAATTAATGTCACTGAATTTTACATAAACATTGTTTAAATTGCAAACTTTTGGTATATATTTGTACTACATTTAAAACAACAACAACAATATTCAACTCTCCATCCAATTCCAACCCAAAATCCCCATATTATTTCCATTTTCCTTGAACATGCCTGAACCCCAAATGGCAAAACTAACTAACCCTGTTCTCTTCATGCCCCTCACTTTCTGCCTTCTGTATTTGGCATTGTTTGTCTTCTATATTAAGAAATCCTCTGATCTGGTACCTAGCCCCATATTCTAGTTTCCACATGTTCCTTTATCTTTTTCTTTCTTTCTGTTTTTGGCCAGTTTAAAATATTAATATCTTTTAAAAATCTTTCCTATATATTCCTAGTTTTTCTCTTCTAAGACATTTAGTATTAATTTGCAAAAGTTTTTTGAGCACCTCCGATGCGCTAGGCACATAACTCTGCCCAGTGTCAGGTGAACAAAGGGTCCTTAATCTCAGAGTCTGCCATCTAGTGGGCGAACAGACAGTAAATCATTAAGCATTCAACTAGCACATGTGGGCAATGGCAGGACAACATCTAACCAGAAATTTGTAAAGGATTGGACTATTTCAGGAGCACAGCTGGACTGGCAGTCTTTGAAAGTAATAATGAGATGATATGGGGTGAGATAAAGAGGCAGGTACCAGACAACTCCACGTCTTATAGGTCATGGAAGGGAGTCTGCAAATAAAAATTCTTTAAAATGCAGGGGGAATTCATGAAAAGTTTTAATAGATGATTAAGCCAAATATTCTTGGGATCTATTCAAAAGAAACCAGGCTGGCTATTTGGGGTGAGGAGGAGGGAGAGCCGTATTACTTGTAGTAATACATCCATCTTACTTCTAGAGAGTAGGATCTGAGTATGGGGCTTGTTTGTCAACCTGTCAAAGACTGGCTCATATATCTATTTTTGTACCTCTGGAAGCCAGAAGGAAACGAGTGTAGTCTTTGTACTCATGCCCTCATAGGTTCAAATTCCGACTCCACTCACTTTTTATCCTGAGGGACTGATCATTCTGTTTGCTTATCTTCAAATGACATTGATAATACTTAACTCAGAAGGCTGTTCAAAAAATCACATGAAAAGATGAATGAAAAATATCTGATTTATAAGACATCAATGGTAACTTTTACCTTATCACTAATAAGTATCAATTGACTGAGTTAATCATTGATCATTTGCCTTTTCCCATCTTGTTTTATTATAAACATTAACTGCTTTTCAATAATCTTTCCAACTAATTGGCAATTGATTCAATTAAGAGTAAATCAAATATGGTCATCTTTAAATGTAATCACAATTTTATGCATGTTTTAAAATGTTAATATATATATCATATTCCATAGTTCAATCTAATCAAGGAGAATTGTATAATTGTTACCACCATCAGTTTCCAAGCATTATTTTTCTACATGTGCTCCTTGACATAATCTCCCTTTCACCCATTCCCCACTCTCCCAAACCCCCCTCTCCCTCAAACTCTTATTCTACTTTCTACCTCTATAGGTTCATCAATCCTGGCTTTCATATATCAAAAAATGGAAAAACACATAACATAATTTCAAGAAGGTGACCTTCAGTGACAGGACACTTCTGAGATATACCCTAATATGAACCAACCAAAACCAAGCACAACAATACAAATCAAAATTACAGAAAATGTTTTCATTGATTTTATTTTGGCATCATGCACAAAGCAAGAATTAGTGAAGAATCATTTATAGTTCGGTAAAGGTCGAAAACAATGTGCTTTTTTGTCCCCTTAGAATATTATCTTTTGAATACAAGCTAATTATTAAAGGACCCCTCTTTCTATGCTGTTTTCTTCAAGCGACTATAAGACAAGATATCATTGTGGTCACAACCATGCTCTTTAGAACCAGACTCCCTTATAGGGAAAGCTGGGAGAAAGCAATGCTGATTTTCTATCAGATCCCAGAAATATTTAGAAAATGAATCCACATATAAATTGTTTAAGGATACCTGAAGTGAAAAAACAACAAACCCAACCCTCTGTCATCAAGTGGATTCTGAGTCTCCCTGGGTTTCCTGACTCTAACTTTGCGTGAAAGCAGAGGACCTCATATTTCTTCTGACCAGGGGCTGGGGGAGGGAACTGGTGACCACTGTCCAACCAGGGCTTCTTATCTGATGTAAAGGCACTATTAGAGAACATCTTTATCCTCCTCCTCTGACTACTCATAGTCAGAGTTGTACTCACTGTGTATTTAGACAAGAGGGAGTGAGACTCCTGTCAACAAAGTGAGTAACTTACAGTTCTCTGAATGAGAGTTTCTTAATAAGGATTTCTTAAACTACGAACCAAGAAGCAATATGGATGAGCTTTATTGGCCTTGAACTCAGAATTTATAAGCAAGATTTTGTGTGGGATTTTTTTTTTTCTCCTGAGAAGAGGCCTCGTCTCTTTCATCTCATTTTCAGAATTGCTCGTGACACAGCATAGGTTAAGATCCTATGTGCTGGAGTCAAACGTGGTGAACTCACATCTAAGCAAGTGAACTGACCCAGTCAGGCAATTTCACGTGGTGAAAAGAACCTTGGCTTTCCCCTTATTGCATGAGTTCTATTACTTACCAACTATGCTACCTTGTTCAGGCCCAAAGTTTTCTGACATCAGTTTCCTGAGTGATAAAAGATAATGTTAATGCCGACTTGTTCAAGGATAAATGAATAAAATATAAAGAGGATGGCATATTGTCAAGTACAATAAAGACATTCACTAAAGATTAGCTTCATTTCGCTCCCTAGTGAGCTTGATGCCTAAGCCATGTGTTTCCAGGCCTAGGAGCTAAGTGTCCCTGGAAGTTTTATTGCTCAGTCCTTTGATGGGTTCACCATGAGTGATCAGAATGGACCTAAGAGAAGAAGGCTTCTGTTTTCCCTCCCTACTCAACATTTTGTCCTTGAATGACAGCTTTTCTAACTTGCCTTACCCCACAAACTACTGTCTTTATTGATCTTAAACATTCTCTGAAAATAGTAGGATTAGGAAGATCTTTAACAAACTTCATTAGTGCATTTAAGGGCCTCTTAGTGTTGCGGTTTTATAAGGTTACAGACCCCAAAGTTGCTGACTCTGGTGATTAAAAAAAAAATTCTGAATATGTGTGGGGTGCAAAAATAGTGGTTGTACTTTTGTGAAATGTCTAGAGTGGGCAAATGCATAGCGAAGGGAGTTACCCTGGTTGTTGGGCCTGGGAGAAAAGAGTATTACTACTGAGGAAGCGGTGCTGAGTTTCTGTTGGAGGTTAGTCAACTCTTAGGAAGGGATCGTGTTGATGGTGGCGCAGCATGGCATAGGTGGTAGGTGTCCCTTAGTTGTGTATTTGGAAATATTTAAAACTTACTGCTAAATTTTGTTTTTACCACAATAAAATCTTTAAAAAGTAGGGGTTGCCATGTATGTTGAATGGCACAATCCTGCTTAATCTTTACTTGGCATGCCTGATCCTGAAATCAATCAATTCCAATGGGTGATTTTTTTAGGAGACTTAAATCCATACCAAATAAAGATTGGGCCATATATTACTGGTTCCTGTAGCTTCCCCAACTGATGGCTTCTTTTTTATTCCATAAGAGCATACTCCACTTTTTCTCTCATTACTGTAGATGAACTGCATGTTTGTGCTACTATTGAAGGTCAGTCTCTCTGCTTTGCTGTGGATCTGAACAATCTCCCTCTCATGACTCAGACAGAGACAGGATGCCAACCCATATCACCCCTTTATCTCATCCTGTCAACCGTTCTCACCCTCTGCGGCATTAGTCCCACCAGTATACAAGCATACTGTTATCTCTCCCATTTAAAAGAAGGCATTTTGTCGTGTTTCCCTCACCAGCTCCTACCTGCATCTCTCTGCTTTGAAGATCTGCGGTCTCATAGCTGCCTTTGTCTTCCTCTCCTCTGCTCCCATTCTCTGGAAGCTACTCCACTTGCACTGTATCCCTAACACTCTTGAAAGTCAGCTCCATGTAGCTCCTCTTCCTTGCCGAGCAGGAGTAGTAAGCATAGTGATCACTCCCTCCTCCTTTCCTCACTTGCCTTGCCAGACACGGGCTACTCCTTAATGGCCTTGAATGATTTCTCAGTAATCTTCCTCGCTTCTTAACATTAGAATGCCCAAGGACTAAATTTGGGGCTTTTTCTTCTGTGAGATCCCTTTTGGTGGTCTCATGTAGTATCGTGGCTTTAAATATTATTTATACCATCTATAGCAAGGTATCCTTGAGGGGTGCACAGAGTTAAACATGCTTGACTGCTCACTGAAGGCTGGAGGTTGGACGGAGTCCACCCACAGCTTTGGACTCTGACTAACTAGCTTGATGATGTACACATGGTGATTTTGTTTTTTTGTTTGTTTGTGTTTTATTGTGGTAAAATTAAAAACTCTCAAGACACAGCCAGAATCGGTCTATGTCTGACCTCTACCACCTCTGGTCTGATTCACACTCTTATCATCCGTTACTGCACGCTCGTCGTTGGTCTGCCCACTTTCAGCTTGCTGTCCTAGAGTCTATCTAAACCCAGAAAAGTGGGTGTTTTTTTTCAATTAGTCAAATTATGTGACTCTTTCCCTTGCATTGTTTGCCCAACATAGTCAGACTACAACTCAAATCTTCAAAGTGGTCTAGAAAGCTGTAAGCATTTGCCTCCGATTTCTTTGACCTCATCTTCGACTCCAGTGGTTCTCAACCTTCCCAATGCCATGACCCTTTAATACAGTTCCTCATGTGGTGGTGACCCTCAGCCATACAATTATTTTCTTTGCTACTTCATCACTGTCATTTTGCTACTGTCCTGAATCGTCATGTAAATATCTGATAGACAGGATGCATTTTCATTGTTACAAATTGAACAGAATTAAACATAATTAAAGCATAGTGATTCATCACAAAACAATATGTAATTATATATTGTGAAATATGTATGTGGTTTCCGATGGTCTTAGGCGACCCCTGTGAAAGGGTCATTCAACCCCCAAAGGGATTGTGACCCACAGCTTGAGAACCACTCTTCTACTTCTTTATCGCTCACTCCTTCTACTCCAACCCCAGCACACTCCTAATTCAGTCTCTGTACTTACTCTTCTCTCTACCTGAATATACTGCACCCAGGTAACCTCCTCGGTGTCCTCAGCATTTGCCTCAACACCATCTTATTACATAGGCCTTCCCTCTCATCTCAACGCTAGCCCTCCCCGTACGATGTTCCTGCCTAGTTTTTCTCCACTCCAGGTTCTCTCGTGAGGGTCACACTTGGCCGTGATCTTTGTGGGAACAGATCACCAGGTCTTTCTCCTACAGAGCCACTTTGTGGATTCCTTCAGTTAGGAAGTGAGCACTTAATCATGGTGCCCCCAGAGCTTTGTAAGGAAAGCTGAGAAAGTGAGCGCCAGAAAGACCTTGGACAGTCACCAATTCCAACTAGTACACATTGCAAGTGACTGGAAGACATTCATGAAGACTCCTCTCCAGTACGTGGCAGACCCAAGACTGAAACCAGCCTGCAGTTTGGTTGCTTCCCAACCTAAAGTCAGATCACTGCAATGAAGCTCCTTTGGAAGGAGCTGCCCTTTCCCCAGGAGTTGCCACCTTTGTTCCCGACACGTCCTTCTTGGGTGGCTTTGACTGACGGCTTAGTCCTGTGTCCTGCTGGCCCAGAGAATGCAAGCCGGCCAGATGAGTATTATTTACAATGTGTGGCATTTTCCTCCCCAACCCAAATCCATGACTGTCACATCAGTTCCAACTCACAGCGGTCCCAAAGGAGAGAGTCGGACGGTCTCATAGGGCTTCCAGGAGTGTACTCCTTCTGGAAGCATCCTGCCACACCTTTTGCTGGTGAAGCAGCTGGTGAGTTCATGCCACAGATCTTCCGGCAAGCACCCAAGTAGCCACTGCACCACCAGGGCTCCTCAACTTTTTGTTATAGCAAAGCTTTTAGAACATATTGTGGCAGGAGCTGCACTTTTGAGACAAATATGAAAGATGGCACCAGAATGCAAGCTGGGAAAATCAGGGACAAGGTTTAACCTCAAACTTAGGTGTTGACCTGAGAAGCCAGGCTTATGTTTTAGAGGCAAAGACACCTGTCAGGGAAGAATGGGCACAGGCATCTCAGAGTACCATTTTTTGCTTGTCTGAGCCCTGGTGGCATAGTGGGTTGCATGTTGGGCTGCTAACTGCAAGGTCAGCAGTTTGAAACCACCACCTGCTCTTCTAGGGAAAGATGAGGATTTCTACTCCCACAAAAATTCTCAATCCAAAAAAAAAAAAATTCTCAATCTTGGAAACCCACAAAGAAGTGTTGGTCCTAGAGGGTCATTATGAGTCAGAAGCGACTCCATGACAGTAGTTTGCTGCATTTCTGTTCTTTGATTGACATGAGAGGAAGCAAATGAGTAACACATGAAAAAGCAAATGAAAAACACAGACCTCAAGTTCACCACCCTCTGTGTGATGGTGAAGGTTTCTATGTCATGCAAATGTTTTGCCCTTAGCTATTAACTGACATATTGACAGCCCAAACCCACCTTCTGGAACTGTGGAAGAAAAGGCCTGGTGATCCTACAGCCTAGAAAACCCCATCAAGCAATTCCCCCCTGTAACACACAGGGTGGCCGTCAGTTGGAATGGACTAATGGCAACATCGTGAAGAAGCAATTTGGAAACAGAAAGGGTGATGGTGGCACAAGATGGGGAACACAATCATCACTTTATTACACATGTGAAGCATGTTGAAATAGCACATGTTTAGTTACATATAGTATTTACCACCATAAATAGACCCCATGTTTGCCAATGATCTGTTATTTCAACTCACTGCTATCAAATCAATTCCAACAGATCAGTCTGAGAGGACAGGGCAGAACTGGCTCTGGGTTTCTGAGGCTGTGACTCATAATGGGAGTCGAAAGTCTGGTCTTTCTCCCTTGGAGAAGTTGCTGGTTTCAAACTGTTGACCTGTGGTTAGCAGCCCAATGTCCAACCACCACTCCCCCCGGTGCTGCTATGCTCTGTTACAGATGTCTGTAAGTGCCGCTCTGAAAGGCTGTCTTCTTTCTCTCCAGAACTGGTGGCCGGAGTTCCAAGAGGAGCACAGAATTTTGGATATGTGAGTACTGACACTGTACTCTAACCTATTTTCTTGTTTTTCCAAAGAAGCCTTTTGGTTAATTTTACTTTTGCATCTTTTACAATGTCCTTAGTCTGAGGGTCCCACATGAGCCCCTCCTACTGGCTCTAAAAAGAAAGGGCTCTCCTTTAAAAAGCCATCTGTGTGAGACCAAATGAACAGCATCGACCCTAAAGCAAAGGCAAGAAGGCTAGGCTGTTGGGATGTGGCAGGGAAACTAGATTAATGGAGACAGAACAACTAGAATGGAAATAATGAGACTATCGACATGTAAACAATGTAACCGATGCCAATGAACAATGCATATGGAAACGATTAAATGAAAACTTAATTTGCAGCATACACTTTCACCCAAAACACAAGAAAATATTATTTGTAAAGTGAAAAAGAAGAGCAATAACGACACTACATGCATTCTGATCCATGTGCAGGATTAGCCACAAAACTTGGGGCCCACTGCAAAATGAAAACACAAGACCCTTTATTAAAAAATGCTTAAGAATTTCAGGGCAGCAACAGCATGTGAAACGAAGCATGTGGGCCCTGTTCCTGTCCATGTGCATGTTCCAGAAATCATTTCCAAAGATACCATTGTTGGTAGGATCAACGTCTTCATATACCTTGTGAGATAGAAATAAGAACATTAATTATGGTTTCGCTAATGGATTCCTTTCTTGGGCTGCAGTAACAAACCACAATTCAGTGGCTTAAAATAACAGACATTTAGTCTCACACGGTTCTGGAGGCCAGAAGTCTGAAAACAAAGCAGTAGCAGAGCCAAATGTCTTGTGATGCTTCCAGGAGAGATTTCATTGCCATCTCCAGGTTCTGGTGGTTCCCAGAGGAGCCCCGGTGCTGGGCGACTGTACACACTGAGCTGCTAACAGCAAGGTCAGCGGTTTGAACCTACCAGTTGCTCCATGGAGAAAGATGAGGCTTTCCACTCCTGTGAAGATTTACAGCCTCAGACGCCCAGAGAGACAGTTTTACTCTGCCCACAGGGTCACTATGAGAATTGACTTGGTGGCAAGCAGGTGGCTCCTGGCATTCTTAGGCTTCCTGTAACATAACTATGATTTCGCCCTACATCCTCACACGGCCTTTCAGCTCTGTGTATATGAAGGGATTTAGGGACCATCCTAAGTCTAGGATAATTCCATCTCAAGATCTTTAATTAAATTGAACCTATTTCCACATAAGGTCACATCTGAGCTTTTCCAGTTGATGGGGAATTTTCAAGGATACGAATCAACTCACTACTAGTGCAAACTTAGGAAAATGAAAAATTTATTTTAAATAATTTATCTTTCTTAAAGAAATCCAGTGAACACATAATGTTTATAGATTTGCGGTTGGATGAATAAAATCAAAAGAAATGTTTTGCTATACAGATAACCTTAAAATTTTTCTCTTTTTGTCTCCTCTAAAGAGACATAATCATTTGTCTCTCAAAATAGCACACGTGTAGAAATAGATCTAGAAAAAAATTATGACTAAGTGGATAACTCACTATCAGATTTCTGTTTTCAGCATTTATTTTCCCATTTTGAAGTAGTAAGCATGTATTATGTCAGAAAGTTTGATTGGTTTTTAAAATGTGAGCATTTACATCATGCTTGTGGTCTTGAATTTTTGTTTTACATCTAGTTAACTGTCACTCGACAAAAAACTTCAAGGGATTTAATTCACTGTTTAAAAGAAATTCTCCAGTTATATGTAAAGTCATGTAACAACCTATCTAATTTCTGCGATTTCAGGTTTCAATCATTAACTCTACAGATATGACCTATATACAGAATTTCACTGGCGAACAGGTAAAATCCTTTTAACATCAAATAATTACTAGTCGTCCTATACTAGTAGTATATGATAATTTGCATGTAATTCATTCATTTAGTAAATAGTTACTGAGCTCCAAGTGCACAGTGGTTAGGTAATTGACTACTAACTGAAAGGACCGGGATTAAAATGCACCAGATGCTCTGTAAGAGAAAAGGGTGACTGTCTGTCTTCATAGAGATATGAGCCTCGAGAGCCCTATGAGACAGCCCTACTTTGTCCTGTAGGGTCACTATGAGTCACCAATGACTCGGTGGCTGTAGGTGTGTGTTAGAAACTCTTCTAGGTCCTGGAGATATAGCAGTATATGCACACCCCACTGATTCCGACTCATTGGGACCCTGTAGGGGCAGAGTTGATCTGCTCCAGATGGGTTTCTAAGGCTGGAAATCTGTATGAGAGCAGGCATCCTCATGTTTCTGCAAAGGAAACAGCTGGTGGATTTGAACCAGCTGTTAGCCCAACACTTTGCCCCCCCCTGTGCTGCAAGACAGGCAATTTCTCATCTCTTGCACAACAGTGGAGGAGGGGGAACAGGGAAGTTCATTGACACACAAATGCTCCTGATAACTTCAAATAGAAGTGATATGGTGAATAAAATAGACTTATATAATATGGGGTGTGTGGCAAGGGAGCTCTTAGAAGCTCAGGGAGACCTTTAAAGTGGCAACATCTGAGCTGAGGTGTGACTGACAAGACACAGGCCACCATACCATTTTGTCTAGAATGTTCCAGCAGAGAGAGCAGCTGAAACAAGGCCTTCACATGGCCAGCTAAGCATGTCTGAGGAGCAGCAAGGTCAACCTAGCTGTGAGCAAAAGACAGAGGGAGGAGCTGAGAATGGGGAGGGCATATGAGCCTATTTAAGAGGGTGGATTCATTGCAGTGGGGAGCTGATTCATGTTGATGCTTCAGTAGTATTGATATATGTGAAGACTCTCAGCTAAGATATGGAATGGAGGAGGAGCACTTGAAGACAGCCTGGGTGATGGAAGGAGGCAGAGCCGGATTCTGGGCACCACTATCCCACTCATGATTCGTGTGACCCAAAGAGAGTCATTTAACTCCTTTGAGCCCAATTTGCAAAATGAGAATGATATATCTAGCTTCCAACCTCTCTTAGGGAATGAAAGGAATCCAGAACTGTTAGTTACTTAAAAGAGTTCTTGACAGGAAACTCAACAGATGAAAACTGTAAAAATGGCCTTTCAATTCCTTAGTCTCTTCCTCTTCCTTTCGATTAAATGAAAACTGTAAGATTCTCCTGAAACCTACCAATTAGATGTGCATGTAGGTAAACGTATGTACCTAGAATGATCATAGGAGCGCTGGTGATACAATGATCAAGCGCTCAACAGCTGGACTGTAACCAAAAGAGCAGCCGCGTAAATCCATCCGTGGCTACATAGGAGAAAAGATCTCGAGATGTAAGCTGCCGACGTAGGAACCCCTATGATTCTGCTTTGTCATGCAGGGTCCCTGTGAGTCACGATCAACTTGATAGTGCATAGCAACAACACGCTGGTCATAGGCTGTGTCTTGGGAAATTCAGCAATACATATATGGTTGTTCTGTAAGTCTAATAAAAACATTGTAAATGAAAAGTATAATTTAGGAGCAATGGATTTCTGGTGTTTATAGTTCTTATGAAACTGAGAGTTCTTCACAAATAAAACTTCAGATTTTATTTAAAAATTATGAGGAAAAATAGATTTTTCCCATATTCTTTTGGAAGCTCCCCACACCCTACCATACAAAGAAAGCTAGTAAACAAGAAACCTTAAATTAGCCAAGTGAATTAATAGGTCATGATTCATTTGAACAAATGCTATTGCTTTGCTACACTGAATTGCTGCTCACAGTGAAATTCAGGTTTAGTGGTCAATAGTTAGTAAAATGCCATCCACAAGCAAGTTTGTCCTAAGGAGGCAGGGACTTTTGTCTATTTTATCTATTCTGTTTGTACTGTCAGAATTCTGTGCAGCAAGGAAATAGGTGCCAGATGATGAGTACTGTTTCTTGAGGGAATAAATGCATGAATTAATTGATTTAAATGCACAAATTAATGAATTAAGGGTCATGCAGCGACTCCTCTCTATTACAAGCACAGATGGGGAAGTACTTATTCCAGCCATGGCATCATTTGGCCTTCAGTCAGAGGAAATGCATTCATCCCTAGGTTAAAATCTGCCTCTGTTCCCTTCTCCAAGCCCAAGGGAAAGTCACATCCGTGCCAGCTAGATGGCACATGCTCAAATTCAGTAAGCTGTCTAGCTGTGAGTGGTTGCAAGATGATCCAACACATGTTTATATCATCTTTTCAAGGTCATGATCAAGTCTCTCTCTCTCCCTCCCTCTCTGTTCTGCCTCTCCCCCCCCTCTGTCTCGCATAGAGAATTTAGTGTCTCCAAAAAAATAAATCTAAAGTAGAGATCTGAGTGTGAGAACACCGAGTTATTGAAGAGAGGGAAAGCAAAGGCGCATTTTGAAAATGTGGCATGCCTTGAATACGTTCATTTGACAGTAGTAGTGGTTTTTTTTTTCCCTTAGTAACTCTGTTTTAAGTTATTTTTAAAACCACTTCACACTCCAAAGCAAGAGTACTTTTCAGACGTAGCCTTGGCTGCCAACGTGAAGCACCTGACTTTCAGAGCACGCTGTTCCTTTTCAGGCATTTTCTTTGAGAGAGCGGGGAAGATCCAGTAGTCTAGTCGGGAGCCGGTTACCCAATAAGTAACATCAGCACAGGCTTACTTGTACTTAATTTTTTTTTCTTTTTTAACATTTTATTAGGGGCTCAAACAACTGTTATCCCAATCCATACACACATCAATTGTGTAAAGCGCATTTGTATATCGTTTCTCAAAACATTTTCTCTCCATTTAAACTTGTACTTATTTATTAATCGGTGGGGAACAATTTCACATTGGTTTCACCACATCAGAGATGTGAAGCTGCTCACTACAGATTAGTAGGTAGGCACAAGTAAGCCCATGCTGACCTTGCTTATCGGGTAATCAAGCACTTGTTCTTGTTAGAAAGGTCATAGTTCTTGTTGTTGGCAGGTTATAGTTAGGAGCCACATCTAACAATCATTATTAAGAAGACACGAGTGGCATCAGTGAAGATCTTAATGAAGTAATTACCGTATGTACTCGGTCTGCTCATTGCTCTGTAATGTTCCGTAATACTCCTCCTGACAGTCTTGTGAGCTATATGGAGATATAAGGCTATTATGATATGACGTGCAATGGATTGTATAACAGTCTTCTAACTGTCCAGGCAGTGCAAATAGAAAAGTGAACAAAAAAGACACATGCTAGTCCCCTCCATGCAGCAAGCTTTCACGGGGGCTACAGGCTGTTGCTGTTAGTAGACAACAGGAGACTGAGTCAGCTAACCCACTGGCTGGCAGAATAGGGAAGCAATGAATTTTGGCTACCTGAAACTATGGACCAAATCTAAAAAGATGAAAAGTCCTAAAAAAAATAGCTTAAAGAAACAGAACAAACTCCAAGGATACAATTTAGGGAAATTATGTTATGCTAGTTAGATTATGTTATGGAAAAGATATAAATGTAATCTGAAGTAATACCAAGATATAGTTCCTCTCAAAATTTAGTCGTATAAATAAAGTATCCAACCTATGGCAGTTTAAGTGTACTTCCACTTTGCTCTTAACAAAACACATGTGTTATTCTCTACTCTTTGATAACACACGTTATCTTAAGGAAAGTGGGGTCCACATGGTGATGTAACAGAAAATAGTTTTATGAGACTTTAAAGGAAATGGAATCAGATTTATTCTGTGCGGTTCAACATTATGGAAGTAGGTAGGCTTGAAGACTAGATTTACAGAAGGGTCAGATTTAGCAAAAAATGTCCTTGTAATTTTGTCCAGAAATTGAATGGGTTGATTGTTGAAGATCTCTAGAGGATGTACAAGCAGATGTCAGGGACATTGTGGGGGAAATTATTCATCCGGTCAAGGGTTGGAATAAATGACTAGAAGACTTTGTCCAAGTCCAAGTCTATAAATTTCAGAGGGGAACAAAGGGCTGCCATGAGATGAATCTTTCAGAGGTAATTGAGAGGCGATTATGTGGAAAATGATTTTACAAATGCAAACTATGTCACCTTACGGTTTTCTCTTGCAGATGGCATCATATTTTGGATACACTGTTGCAGTGTCAGATGTTAACAATGATGGGTAAGTTTATAAGATGGTCCTCATTCAATTGATATGATATCTGTCCATAAAGATGAGTTATTTTCCCTTAATAAGATGCATCCTTCCATACTTCCTCAACAAGGAAATAGAGGCTGTCTTGTCTTAGCTCTTTTGGTTCATGCCCAGACGTGTCTGGTGAAGCCTTCTCTGTCATCTTGTTTTATGTCTTTCCTGAGATCGTTCACATCTGCCACTTCTAGAAGGGAACGCCTGGATTTCGTTTTATCTTTACTTTTATGAAGTGAATAGTCCTCCATCAGTCATATTCATAGTCACTAATGGGTTTGCTTATCAGTGCTCCTCGCTCCTGGAGTTTCTTCTAGGGCAGTGGTTCTCAACCTTTGTAATGCCACGTGTGTTAGTCTGAGTACTTTAAAGAAACAAATCCACAGAAACTCATATGTATAAGAGAGAATTTTATATAAAGGGTAAGTACACATCAAGAAAACATCCCAACCCAGTGCTGCCCAAGCCTATAAGTCCAACATTAACCCATATGTCCGACACCAATCCACACAGTCCTCCTCCATCTCACAAAACACACACAATGATGCCGACTGCAGGAGCAAAGCCGAATCACTGAACATGTAAGCATCTCAGCACTGGCAGGGGTCTCCACACGGCTGCTCCAGCACCCAGGGCTGCATTGGGATAGGTCCATGTGGCTTCTCCTCAGGGATGTCTTGCAGGAAGTGAGCCTTGCCAGCTGAATCAGGGAACTGGCTAAGGCAGCTGCACCCTGGTTTGACCATCACAAAACAAGAGACCTGAGAACTCGAAAGGTGAGGTTCACTGAGCCATTTATCCCTCTGCCCTTCAATTAACCCCACATGTGTTTATCGGCCAGGTCGGCACAAGAAACTAACTCACTGCGACCTTTTAATACTCGTGTTGTGGTGACCTCCCCAACCATAAAATTATTTTCGTTGCTGCTTCATCACTGTAATTTTGCTGCTGTTATAAATCAAGCGACCCCTGTGAAAGGGTCATTCGACTTTCAAAGGGGTCGTGACCCACAGGTTGAGAACCGCTGTTCTAGGGTACAGACATGCAAGTAAACATCCAGAAAATAACTGCACATGGCAAAAAAATAAAAAGGTTCTTTCCCTCTCAACATTCCTTTAACATAGTAGTAATGCCAATAGAGAAGAGAGAATGTTATTTTTTTAGACATTATGGTAGCAAGTTTCAATGGATCTTGGCCCGAGCATCATGGTAAGTTTGATTATGTTAGAGCTTTTCTTCAAATAGCTTTCCCTCCTAAAAAGCCTCTTGAATTCACTGAAAGCCCTTAATTGAGAGTTAAAGTAACAAATCATTAAATAGTAAAGTAATCATTAGTTGAGAGATATTGATTACTCGTTCATCCAGCAAGTGTTTTTGGAGTACCAACATCATGCTAGGGATTGTCTCAGTGCCTAAAGTATAATGATGAGTAAGACAGAGAGTCTGCTGCCATAGGGCTTACATTTTCACAGAACACAAATATCGGAAGTACCTTGCCCATGTTCTTGGACCTGGGCAGGTCATTTTTAGAAATATCTTTAATAGACATTAACTGACAATAGAATAGATAGATAATAGACAATGTAAAGGTGCTTTATATATTGTGTTATGGTATAAGTGGAGATACATTTAGATAGCTTTTGTACCTCTTGGAAATTGATTTTACATTATTCTCTCATTCAGCATGATACTTACATCTCTCTATAGATATAAGTATCTATAAGTATCTATCAGTTCCAGCGCTGGGCTATGTAGCCAACACCAAGCAACCCCTGCCCATCCCACCCCCTTGGGAAAGTCATACCAGGCTTGTGGGGTGGGAGTTAACATTCAAATTTGGAAAGTATACCAGTTGAAATGGCGCTGCTTCTGACACCTAGTGACCCCCTAGGACAGCATAGAACTATAATAGGATTTCCAGGCTGTAATCTTTAAGGAAGCGGATTGACACATCTTTCTCCTGCTGTGTGGCTGGTGACTTTGAACTGCTGATGTCTCTATTCAGAGCCAAGTGCTCCACCACTGTGCCAACAGGGATCCTTAAGGAAAAGATCCAAACCCAAACCCAACCCATGACTGTTGGGTTCATTCGGGCTCACAGTAAGCCTGTAGAAGAGTAGACTATGTATCTCATAGGCTTTTCAGGGCTATGCATCTCGATAAAAGCAGATGATGGTATCTTGCTCCCACGAGGTAGTTGGTTGATTCACACTGCCAATCTTTGGGTTAGCAGCTGACCATTTTAACCACTGCACCACTGAGTTCCTTAAAGAAACTATGCTGATTCCCAGACTCAGTGCCACTGAGCCCAATACAATTCAGAGCAACCCTGTATAGGGAGCCCACGGCTTTGCAAATCTTTATGGGAGGAGAGAGCCTCATCTTTCTCCTGAGGAGCAGCTGGTGTGTTCGAACTGCTTTCCAGGCGGTTCAAAGCCTAACAATATTGTGTTGTTGTTAGGTGCTGTTGAGTTGGTTGCAACTCACAGCAACTCTCTGCATGACCTCACAAAACACTGATTGGCCCTGTGCCATTCTCACAACTGTTCTTACGCTTGAGCCCAGCGAAGCAGCTACTCCATCAATCCGTCTTGTGCGAGGTCTTCCTCTTTCACTGCTGTTATTTTACCAAGGAGGATGTCCTTTAGGGGCTGGTCTCTAAGTCTCACCATCCTTGCCTTTAAGGAGCATTCCAGCTGTACTTCTTCCAAGACAGATTTGTTGGTTCTTTTGGCTGTCCATGGTACTTTCAATATTTTTCTTCAGCACCACAGTTCAAATGCATCAATTCTGCTTTGGTCTTCCTTATTCAAAATCTAACTTTCACATACAGATGAGGTGATTGAAAAATACCATGGCTTGGATCAGGCATATCTTAGTTCTCAGAATAACGTTCTTGCTTTGCAACACTTTAAAGAAATCTTGTGCAGCAGCTTTACCGAATGCAATGCATCCTTTGATCTTTTGACTGCTGCTTCCATGAGCATTTCTAGTGGTGCCAAGCAAGGTGAAATCCTTGACAACGTCAGTCGTTCTCTGTTTATCATGATGTTACCTACTGGTCTAGCTTGTAGGATTTTTGTCTTCTTGACACTGAGTTGTAATCCACACTGAAGGCTGTAATCCTTGATCTCCATTAGCAAATGCTTCAAGGATAGACTGTATATTATATGATTTGATTTACAGTTGTAGGTCTAATATTATTATATTTACATTATTCAGTTTATTAAATGACTAAAACAATTTTTAATGGTGAAAAATGAAACAAACAAAAACCAGAAGGGGATTAGGAAAAATTGGGCAAGATGCAATATCCAATTGAATAGGTGGAGAAGGGCTCCAGTCATCGTTGGAGAAAGACCGAAGGAATAAGCATTGGCTGGAGTAATGAATGAAGGGGGAAAGCAGAGGGGAGAAGTCTGAAAAATAACAAGATGATAAAGGCTTGTCCAATTACAATACACAATGCCTGTCTTCATGGTGTCCTGGGTTAAACATTGGTGGGTAACCACAAGATCTGCAATTCGTGCCCACAAGTTGCTCCTAGGGAGAGAGATGATGCTGTCTGCTCCTACAAGATTGTAGTCTCAGAAACCTTACAGAGGCTTGGAATGAGCTGGAATCCACTCAAATGCAGCAGCAGTGAGTAGACACATTGCCATACAAACTCTACTTTGTGATAGAAAGTGCTTCCCGAATAGTCTCAGAATTATGGATGATTCTAAGGGAGGAGGTGGGTTGTTTCACTTTGGTTTTAACTGTGGGACAAGGCAGGCGAGGCAGGAGTTGAACTTGAGCCTGAGAGATAATAGTGGAGAGAAATAACCTATACCCTGCTGTGGAATCAAGCACAACTCAGAGCAACCCTATCGGACAGAATAGAACTGTTCCGAGGATTTCCAAGCAGACTGTCTCCTTTCTCCCTCTGAGGTTCTAGTGGATTTGAACCACCCCCAATGTGGTGAGCTGCCCAGCATTCATCCATGGCACCACTGTTCCTTGTGGAAGGAGATAGAGGAAGTTAAATTCTGGATGTACTTTAAGGCATATTCAAATGCTAGTTTTGCCCAGGAAGCAGTTAATTTAAAATGAAATTACTTCAATTGTCTGAGTTAGGGAAATAAAGAAACAAAGGCTGCCATTCAAATTCCCCAGTGTGTATGAACTGCATTGGCTCCTGGTGCCGTTTATTAATTTAGAGAGAAAATGGCTGAAGAATATCTTAAGACTGAAATATGACATGCTGTCCAGATTTAGTAATCCTGTTCTTTCCTGAAAACAAAAACCTCATGTGGCCTTGCAGATATGCAGAGACACATTTCTCAACCCACAGTGACAGTCAGATCAGGAGCTTCCCTCCCGAGAGTCATGTAGCATTTTGTAGCACAGATTAACTCAATGTGTTCCTTTCTTATGTTTGTCCTGTTTTATAATATGTCCTTCAGGGCACTGTTTCCTTCCTGGAACAACAGTGTAGCCTATAATAAGGTGCCTATAGTACATTATTTTTTTTGCCATGTTAAAAAACCAAACAACAAAACATGCAAGCAAAGAATCTCATTTAATTTCTCCTGATCAAAACAGCATGGTTATTAAGAACACAGGAATTTTCTGACAATTTGTCAGTTCTTGATGTTCTTTAAAAATTTCCCTATGGGAAAAAAATTCCCTATGGACTATTTATTTTGGGGACAATATTTTCTGAGACATTGTCTGGTGTACTTTGAACACGTTATCAAAAGAGACCGTTGCCTTGGCAAAGGACATCAGGCTTGTAAAGTAGAGGGGCAGCAAAAAAAGAGGAAGACCTTCGACGAGATGGATTGACACAGTGGCTACAACAATGGGCTCAATGAGAAGAATGATTGTGAGGAGAGGGGAGGACCAGGCGATGCTTCCTTCTGTTGCACACAGGGTCACTCTGAGTTGGAACTGGCTCAATAGCTCCTAACAAGGACAATTCTCCAAAGACT